AGGCACTGGTGGGTCAGTCTGAGATACAGAGCAGAGAGAGGCAGGGTGGCTGATGGTGCTTCCTATACTTTCCGTTATAATTATATGTACTAACCAGCCTACGCGAGTGTTTTTACCCCATCCACGTTATGGAACCCACATGACACCTCCACTACGTCACTTTCTAGACTATTCCACTTCCTGACAACTCTATGACTAAAGAAGTACTTCCTAACATCCCTTTGACTCATCTGAGTCTCCAACTTCCAACTGTGACCCCTTGTTTCTGTGCCCCATCTCTGGAATATTCTGTCTCTGTCCACCTTGTCAATTCCCCAAAGTATTTTGTACGTCGTTATCATGTCTCCCCTAACCCTCCTGTCCTCCAGTGTCATCAGGTCAGTTTTCCTTAACCTTTCTTCATAGAATAATCCCCTTAGCTCTGAAACTAGTCTTGTTGCAAACCTTTGTACTTTCTCTTATCTCTTGATGTGCTTGACCAGGTGTGGGTTCCAAACTGGTGCTGCATACTCCAGTATGGGCCTGGCGTGCACGGTGTACAGAGTCTTGAACCATTCCTTACTGAAGTATCAGAATGCTATTCTTCAGGTTTGCTAGGTGTCCATATGCTGAAGCGGTTATCTGGCTGATGTGCACCTCAGGAGATGTGCTCAGTATTATACTCACTCAAAGATCCTTTTCCTTGTGAGTGAGGTCTGCAGCCTTTGGCCAACTAACCTATACTCTGTCTGGAGTCTTCTTTGTCCTTCCCTGATCTTTATGACTTTGCATCAGACGGGGTTATATTTAAGGAGCAAGTTGTTGAACCAGGCTTGCAGCCTATCCGAGTCTCTTTATAGTCCTGCCTGATCCTCATCCAACTTAACTGTCCTCGTTAGCTTCACATCTGCAAACAGGGACACTTCTGAGTCTATTCCTTCCATTATGTCATTCACATACACCAAAAATAGCACTGGTCCTAGGACTGACCCCTGTGGAACCCCGCTCATCACAGGTGCCCATTCTGACACCAGGCACCATGACCCAATGTTGTCTCCCTGTTAGGTATTCCCTAATCCATTACAGTGCCCTTCCTGTTATGCATGCCTGATCCTCTAGCTTTTGCACTAATCTCTTGTGAGAAACTGTGTCAAAGCCTTCTTGCAGCCCAATAAAATGCAATCTATCCACCCCTCTCTCGTGTCATACTTTTGTTACCTTGTCATGAAACTCCAGTAAGTTTGTGACAGAGTGTTCTTTACAAGCCTCTTCCATTCTAGGTGCTCCACCACTCTCCTCCTGATAATCTTTGCATACTATACACATCAGTGACACTGTCTTGCATCTGTCTCCTTAAAAATGGGGACTACATTTGCCATGTTCAATACCTCAGGTATCTGCCCAGTTTTGATAGATGTATTGAAAACTGTTAATAGTGATACACACTTCACATCTGCTCCCTCTCTAAGGACCCACGGAGATATGTCCGGTCCCACCGCCTTTGAGGTATGAAGTTCATTTAACACCTTCTTCACCTCCTCCTCGGTCATGTGTATCTCATCCAGCACTTGTTAGTATATCCCTTGTTGGTGTATCCCCCTGTTCTGACTTCCCGGAGTCCTTTCTGGCTCCACTGTAAATACTTCTTTAAATCTCATGTTTAGGTCCTAACATATTTCTTGGTCATTTCTTGTGAGCTCCCCACCTTTCTTCCTCAGCCTGATTACCTGGTCCTTGACTGTTGTCTTCCTCCTGATGTATACAACAGCTTCAAGTCAGACTTGACTTTCGATGCTATGTCGCTTTTCTACTGTCACTGGGCCTCCCTATCCGTGCATACTCATTTCTGGCTCTTTGACTAATCTCTTTATTTTCCTGGGTCCTTAGTCTTCTGTATATTTTCCATTCTCTAGTTCACTTAATTTTTACCTCCTTACACCTTTGGGTAAACCAAGGGCTTGTTCTGGTCTTCTCATTATTTCTGTTATACCATTTATTTTCATTTCTGTTGTCCTTGGGAACAACCTCTTCCCTTCCTCCTTGCATTCTGTCACGTAGTCCATCATTTTCTTTCCCACTGGACTGTGTGTGTGTGTGTGTGTGTGTGTGTGTGTGTGTGTGTGTGTGTGTGTGTGTGTGTGTGTGTGTGTGTGTATGTCGTGTGTGCGCGCCATGTCCGTGTGTGGTCCGTGTGTGTGTCCGTGTGTGTGTCCGTGTGTGTGTCGTGTGTTGTCCGGTGTGTGTGTGTGTGTGTGTGTGTGTGTGTGTGTGTGTGTGTGTCCGTGTGTGTGTGTGTGTGTGTGTGTGTGTGTGTGTGTGTGTCCGTGTGTGTGTCCGTGTTTTCCGTGTGTGTGGTGTGTGTGTGTGTGTCCGTGTGTGTCCGTGTGTGTGTCCGTGTGTGTGTGTGTGTGGTGTGTGTGTGCCGTGTGTGTGTGTGTCCGTGTGTGTGTGTGTGTCGTGTGTGTCCGTGTGTGTGTGTGTGTTCCGTGTGTGTGTGTGTCCGTGTGTGTGTGTGTGTGTGTCCGTGTGTGTGTGTGTCCGTGTGTGTGTGTGTCCGTGTGTGGTGTGTCCGTGTGTGTGTGTCCGTGTGTGTCCGGTGTGTGTGGTGTGTGTCCGTGTGGTGTGTCCGTGTGTGTGTGTCCGGTGTGTGTGTGTGTGTGTGTGTGTGTCCGTGTGGGGTGTGTCCGTGTGTGTGTGTGTCGTGTGTGTGTGTGTCCGTGTGTGTGTGTCCGTGTGTGTGTGTCCGTGTGTGTGTGTCCGTGTGTGTGTGTCCGTGTGTGTGTGTCCGTGTGTGTGTCCGTGTGTGTGTGTGTCCGTGTGTGTGTGTTCCGTGTGTGTGTGTGTCCGTGTGTGTGTGTGTCCGTGTGTGTGTGTGTCCGTGTGTGTGTGTTGTCGTGTGTGTGTGGTGTCCGTGGTGTGGTGTGTCCGTGTGTGTGTCCGTGTGTGTGTGTCCGTGTGTGTCCGTGTGTGTGTCCGTGTGTGTGTGTGTCCGTGTGTGTGTGTCCGTGTGTGTGTGTCCGTGTGTGTGTGTGTCCGTGTGTGTGTGTCCGTGTGTGTGTGTCCGTGTGTGTGTCCGTGTGTGTGCGTGCCTCCGTGTGCGCGCGCGCACGCGGTGCGCACTACTTAGCTGTTTACGTCTTTGATGCTGAATTTTGTTCTATTTACAACTACTACTCTGCACTGTGTGTGTTAGGAACCTGAAAATCCATCTGCCTACCTTCCTAGTTATGCCCATGGTCCTCATTTTGTATGCAATCACCCCAAGATCGTATTTGTTAAACGCCTTCGCAAAATCAGTGTATATCACATCTGCGTTTTTGTTTGCTTCTAACGCCTCTGTAATTTTGTCATAGTGGTTTAGCACTTGACAGGAATAATCGTCCATTTCTAAAACCGTGCTGGTTTTGGGTTATGCTGATTGTGTTGTTCCATGAAGTTTGTAAATTGACATCTCATAACTCTTTCGAAGATTTTTATGATATGGGATGTTAGCGCAGCCTCTCTCATGCAAAGGAGCTGTGTCTGCATCCTTTAAGGTCTCCGATATTTCACCTAGATCTAGGCTCTTTCTCCAAAGAATATTGAGTGTTCACGCTAAGGGCGGTTTGTACTTTTTGTTTTTTATAAATAAGGAAGTCCATGAATATGGTCCAAGTGCTGAGTGGGCATGTTTTCAATATCTTTTTCGAATTCTATGGGATAAGTACTATGTCAGTTAGATGGTCTGCGTGGCCTTCCGATGAAATGAAAAAGTTTTCTGCATTCTCTACCCTGCCTTCATTTAGTGGCATCGGTACAGGTACTGGTGGGTATCGGCTAATTTTGATGATACAGTATCAGTTACAATTTTGATATCGTCCCATCCCTTGATTTAACCCTAGTAAATACAAAGTTATAAGAAATCAGGGAAGGGCATGAACGACATGAAACAGAGAAGCAGCTCAGGAGATAAAGGTTGCAACTCTCCCTGCAAGAGGAACTTGGGGTGAGCCTTGTTCGGAACATTTTACCTGAGGCACACATCAGCCAGATGGATAACTGCTACAGTAAATGCGAAACTGGGACACTTAGAGGTAGCTTTCAGAAACCTCAACAAGGAAGCATTCACCACCCTATTCATGACAACTGCCAGAGCCATCTTGTAGTTTGCAGTGCCAGTACTGACCTGTATCTGGTAAAGAAAGTAAAGACGCTAGAAAAAAAAAGTGGAAAAGTTTGCTACAAGACCAGTCTCAGAGCTGAGGGGGTACGAGCTATTCGCACTGATTAGAGGAGCTAAACTTGACATTAGAAGACAGAAGGACAAGAGGTGACATGATTATGACATGCGAAATACCGAGAGAAATAGTGTTGACAAGGCAAGTCAGTGAGAGACAGGTCTCAGGTACACGAGGGTACAACTGGAAGGTAAACAGACGAGTCGTAGGGCAATGCTTCTTTATTCTTTAGCCTTAGAGTGGTCAGGAAGTGGTATGGTCTCAAACAGCCAAGTGGTAAAGGCAAGATCCATACATAGCTTTAAGAATGGGTATGATATGGCTCAAGCGGTCAGTGAAGCAGGGCCAGGAACAATCTCTCAACCTATGCAACCACAAATACAGCTAGGTGAATACATAGGTACATATGTACTTACGAACGTACGTATACACACATGCACATGCGCGCACGAACATGCACAGACGCTCACACTACAAGCACGCACGCATGCAAACACGCACGCACGCAGCTTCTGATATGGGACACAGCAACAAGGGGTCACAACTGGAAGTTGAAGACTCAGATGAGTCACAGGGATGTTAGGAAGGTTTCCTTCAGCTAAAGAGTTGTCAGGAAGCGGAGCAATCTGGACAGTGATGTAGTGGAGGCAGGATCCATGCACAGTTTTAAGAAGAGATACGATAAAGCTCATGGAGCAGGGAGTGTACCTAGAGACGACCAGTAAAGAGGCGGGGTCAGGAGATATGAATCGACCCCTGCAACCACAATTAGGTGAGTACACACACACACACGTCTTTACTAACCTCTTAAGCATCTCCCACTTATTTAGAATCTTCATAGCAAAGACTCTGTCAGTTCCTTTTAGCTTGACGACACATACTTCGCCAAAAGCTCCTCGTCCTATCACCTTTATCACTTCGAAGTCGTCTCGGGTCAGTCGAAGAGCCTTCACACGCTGCACCACCGGTTTCACTGTCAACATAAATTAATTACACTTAGCTACTAATAAATCAACAAAATAGTTAAGTGCTAAACCATGAACTTACCAATACACTTACAAATAAATACAATCACTACCGTGGCTGCAAAACTCTCAACTTACCATTACGTTTAACAAAAAAATCATCAGAACTTGATTACATTACGTTGGTGACATGGTGGTACCAAAGACGCCTCGACATTTAAATCTTCCTCAACCAAAGCAACTCATTCAAACCTACATCATCAAATTCACACTGGACCTCAAAAGAGGCTTATAAATCCCCTTCTCTGATGTTATCCTCTGTAAAACACTAGACAATTACATTTTTTCTAAGTGTACAGGAAGCCCATCAATAGGGACTTGATACATTTCTACTCAACACGTCAATGAAGAGAGAAGAAGTGGTTGCGATATTTTTTCCCGAAAAGCCCTCTCCATATCAAGTTGAGTCTGTTCCTTTAACAATTACCGTGTTTTCTCTCAGTGTAATATCAGCTCTGCCTGGCCTCCCACCAGATTTTGATCATAACCTGGTCTCTCAGGCTGCTACTGTTTGTGATATGTAATACAAACAGGCACTACAGCCTAGATGACTAGGAGGCGCATAATACAAATTAATAATTAATCTCTTAAAGACATGAGATACTTGGCATTTCCCATTATATCTTAACAATACCGAAAAGCCTAGAATCCCCCCTCCCCATCCACACACGCACGCGCACCATAGAAAGGTGTTTTGCAAAAATGGTCCAGTATGTGGTTGCTGGGGTTTAATCTCCACAAAGTCATGTTGATGGAGGTGAGGGAAGAATAGAGATAAGTACAGCCCAGTAAGAGACTAAAAGAGTATATTTAAGGAAAAGGATCTGGAGGTAAATATCAGCTCAAGGGAATATCGGTTATCAGTAGAAGTTTTAAAGAGGAAACTGGATCAGACCAGTCTGCGGGTTGCTAGTACCAACAACCTAATTAATAGGGAACTCTGGCCTTAGGCTGGGCTGCCAGGGTTCAGAACCCTCGAAACCGGTCAGGTATGTTCTGTATACCTTCAGAATCAAATGCCACGCTAGACGCACAATCGAAACATCAATCAGGAACTTCAAGTATCCTCCAGAACTTTATACACAACATACTAGTCCAATCAACGAGCACGTGGACCAACGTGGACCTCACTTTCTTTAGTAAAGCGAGTGCAGAAGCTCGAAAAAAAAGTTCAGAACTTGAGGGAATGTTCTATGATCAGAGGTTGAGATAAGTAAACTGACCACCTTGGCAGAAAGGATACCTTTGATATACCTTTGAAGAGTTTCGAGAGTTTATCTACTCTCTGAGCCCGGCCATGGGCCAGGCTCGTCTGGTGCTCGCCTGGTCAACCAGGCTGTTGCTGCTGGAGGCCCGCTGCCCAACATATCCATCACAGCCTGGTTGATCTGGCACCTGGTGAAGATACTTGTCTAGTTTCCTCTTGAAGGCTTCAACACTTGTTCCAGCAGTGTTTCTGATATCTTCTGGTAAGATGTTGAAAAGTCTGGGACCCCGGATGTTCATAGTGTTCCCTTATTGTCCCCACCGCACCCCTGCTCCTCACTGGGTTTATTTTACACTTCCTCCCATATCTCTCTCCAGTATGTTATGGCAGTGCGCAGATTTGGGACCAAGCCCTCGAGTACCTTCCAGGTATATATTATCATGTACCTCTGTCTCCTCCGCTCCAATGAGCACATGTTCAAGACTTGCAGGCGTTCCCAGCAGTTTAGGTGCTTTACTGGCTCAATGTGAGCCGTAAACGATCTCTGTATTTGTTCCAGCTCCGATATTTCTCCTGCCCTGAACGGGGCCGTCAGCACTGAGCAATATTCTAAGTGAGGGAGCACTAGCGATTTGAAGAGTGTCACCATCGGCATTGTTTCCCTTGTTTTGAAAGTTCTCAATACCCACCCAGTCATATTCCTGGCTGTCGTGATCTTTGTCTTATGGTCTTTAAAAAAAAAGGTCCGCTGACATAATTATTCCTAGGTCTTTTACGTGTTCCTTTCGTTCTATTTGGTGACCCTCTTGAGTTTTGTATATAGTGCTCCTTTTGAGTTCTTCATTCTTTCCATACCTAAGCAGCTGGAATTTATCACCATTGAACGTCATGTTGTTTTCCACTGCCCACTGGAAAACCCTGATTATGTCTTCCTGTACTTTTTCAGTGTCCTCTACCGTATTGACTTTCATGCTTATTTTAGTGTCATCTGCAAATGATGATACAAAAGTGTGCCGGGTGTTTTTGTCTGTCTGCTATGAGGATGAGGACGCCTTGGGGCACTAGGGAAGATATTATAATGAAAACAATTTTAATTATGACTGAGCAGATAGTGATAAGACTGCTTGAATTAAAGGACCAGGGTCGTGTTAACACTGGTGGAAGCTGTATCCTGGCAACTTCATTTAAAATACAGCAGATGAAACTGTAGGAATGAAGACAATACGCGAAAAATCACTGTTTATATAAATTCAATTACTTATATAAATAGGAATGTTTAAAATTCCTCTAACTGTATCCTCTGTAATGCAGGCAAAAATATACATTAGAATTTACAGTGAAATTACTACTGTACTTGCGAGAACGTGTCTGGGGAAAATACCAGTGAAAAGCAGAGGTAATTCGACAAGCTTAAAATCAAGAAAATTTAATTTTCCATCAAACATAAGGTACAGTAACACCAGACTCATTGTCAACAAAATACGACTTTCAGATTTCATGAGTTATCAAGGTAATGCTTAAGTAGGACTCCATGTAGTGTGCACCAACTTCTTGTAACAACTTCTGATAACCTTATCTGCTGAAATAATCTTCTGACAGATATAACACAGAGGAGTGGTAAAAAAAAAGGCAAAAATCTATCATTAGCCAAGCAAAAGCTCACTACTTAAGGCACTGTCCTGGCGCCTCTATCCTCGTAACATTGATAAAAAAAAATCACTCTCCACAGTTTTGTATCAGCTGCGGATACCAAAATAAGCATGAAAATCACCTCGGTAAAAGACACGAAAAAATTACAAGATATAAACAACGTTTTCTAATGGGCAGTGGAGAATAAAATGACGTTCAAAATTGAATGTCATGTTATTCTCGTTGTATCTGATGATCCCAAGAGGATAATCAAATAGAACGAAAGGAACACGTGAAACACCTTGCAATAATTATGTCAGCTGACCTTTCTTTCAAGGAACACACTAAAGCAAACATCACGATAGCCAGGAAAAATGACGGGGCAGATAATGAGACTTTCAAAACAAAGGAAATAGTTCCAATGGTAATTATTCAAATTGCTTGTGCTCTCTCATTTAGAATATTGTTCAGTGTAGGGAAAATATCAGAGCTGGAACAGGTACAGTATTTACGGTCGGCATAGAGGCAATGAAGTATTCAAGTTATTGGGAACGCCTGAAAGTCCTAAATATGTACACGATGGAGAGAAGCGTGAAAATATGTAAGTGAAAAGTGCTTGAGGGCTTAATCCCTAATCTGCACACTGCCATAACATACTAAGAGTGAAATATGGGAGAATTATTTTTATTTATATTAAGATGGGGTTCACTATAGTTCATACTGTAGGAACCCATAGCCTAATAGTAAATAAAAAGGCTTCGAGGAAAAAAATATTTGGATTTCTCCCTGACGCCGTTTTAATATTCCACCACTTCTACAACCCCAATTCTATGGTGAACGGAGACATTCAGGTTTAATCCGAGGAATGGGAGGATAAGTCCAGTTCCATGGATCAAGAGGGACGATATGAGAGAAAATGTACAATAAGGTCAGTGAAATGCAGGAGTGCGGTGGGCACAATATCAACATCCATGTTCACAGAATATTCAACAATTACCAGATCTAAAAAATAACTGCTGGGACAAGTGTATTAGTCTTCAAGTGTCTCCACCAAGTGCCTGATCATCCAGATTGTGATGGATATGTGGACTAGCGGGCTGCCACTAGCAACAGCCTAGTTAGTCAGGCAAGCACCAGACAAGCCTAGCGCAGGGCTGGGCTCCGGGAGTAGGAAAACTCTGGAAACCCATCAAAGGTAACTATATATTATTATACTGTATCGTAAGTTCATAAATTGGTTCCATTCACCCTTTTAAAACTAGACAACTGCATTTTTTTTATTTTAACAATTATGTCGTAACTTCTATCTTTCAACTTCCTGTTAATACGATGTATAGATTCTTAAAAACTAATATATGTAATTTTTTAAAACAAGTCCAGTAGCTGGATCGCTGACGCACTCATACAGAGGTCGATTCCCGGTGTGGGTGCAAATATTAGGACGTCTTTCCTTAAGATATCTGCTATCCATGTTCACATATCAGGAAAATAGGTACCTTGGTGTTAGTCGCATCCTGGGGACAAAACTGACCTCCTAAATTTGCCCGAAATGCTCTGCATAACAAGGGGCTTTCTATATAGTAGTATGTCATTGATGTCAGCCAGGACTGTATACCTTGTACATGTACTTGTAGAAATAATAATAATAATAATAATAATAATTACTATTATTATTATTATTAGTTTTGCCCGAAATACTGTGCATCCTATGGGCTTTCTGTTTATTGTAAATATTATGCAAAAAGAGTAATTAAACAACCTAAATCCTAAAGTAACAGTCTGACTGGCCAGACCTGGTCTGGGACCGGGTCGCATGAGCTATGATCCCTGGACCATTTGCTGGTCAACTACAGACGACTGTCACCATGCTCAGAAGGGTGGTGGGCAGCGACCCATCACGCGCCGGGACAAACACTGAGGAATGAGAATGAATGAACACGTCCTCGGGCGTTTTTTTTTCTGGAGAGGTGAGTTGCCTCCAGTCGCAACCACAACTTTACTCCTCCCCCTTGCATATGGGGTACCCGAGGAGCCACCCATCCCCATGGACACCATAACCCTCCAACCCACTTACTGGCTCCCCGTACCACTACCAACCCCACCATATCTCTC